CTGCATCAAGTGAGTATAGAGCAAGCCGCCCTGCTGCATCAAGTGAGTATAGAGCAAGCCGCCCTGCTGCATCAAGTGAGTATAGAGCAAGCCGCCCTGCTGCATCAAGTGAGTATAGAGCAAGCCGCCCTGCTGCATCAAGTGAGTATAGAGCAAGCCGCCCTGCTGCATCAAGTGAGTATAGAGCAAGCCGCCCTGCTGCATCAAGTGAGTATAGAGCAAGCCGCCCTGCTGCATCAAGTGAGTATAGAGCAAGCCGCCCTGCTGCATCAAGTGAGTATAGAGCAAGCCGCCCTGCTGCATCAAGTGAGTATAGAGCAAGCCGCCCTGCTGCATCAAGTGAGTATAGAGCAAGCCGCCCTGCTGCATCAAGTGAGTATAGAGCAAGCCGCCCTGCTGCATCAAGTGAGTATAGAGCAAGCCGCCCTGCTGCATCAAGTGAGTATAGAGCAAGCCGCCCTGCTGCATCAAGTGAGTATAGAGCAAGCCGCCCTGCTGCATCAAGTGAGTATAGAGCAAGCCGCCCTGCTGCATCAAGTGAGTATAGAGCAAGCCGCCCTGCTGCATCAAGTGAGTATAGAGCAAGCCGCCCTGCTGCATCAAGTGAGTATAGAGCAAGCCGCCCTGCTGCATCAAGTGAGTATAGAGCAAGCCGCCCTGCTGCATCAAGTGAGTATAGAGCAAGCCGCCCTGCTGCATCAAGTGAGTATAGAGCAAGCCGCCCTGCTGCATCAAGTGAGTATAGAGCAAGCCGCCCTGCTGCATCAAGTGAGTATAGAGCAAGCCGCCCTGCTGCATCAAGTGAGTATAGAGCAAGCCGCCCTGCTGCATCAAGTGAGTATAGAGCAAGCCGCCCTGCTGCATCAAGTGAGTATAGAGCAAGCCGCCCTGCTGCATCAAGTGAGTATAGAGCAAGCCGCCCTGCTGCATCAAGTGAGTATAGAGCAAGCCGCCCTGCTGCATCAAGTGAGTATAGAGCAAGCCGCCCTGCTGCATCAAGTGAGTATAGAGCAAGCCGCCCTGCTGCATCAAGTGAGTATAGAGCAAGCCGCCCTGCTGCATCAAGTGAGTATAGAGCAAGCCGCCCTGCTGCATCAAGTGAGTATAGAGCAAGCCGCCCTGCTGCATCAAGTGAGTATAGAGCAAGCCGCCCTGCTGCATCAAGTGAGTATAGAGCAAGCCGCCCTGCTGCATCAAGTGAGTATAGAGCAAGCCGCCCTGCTGCATCAAGTGAGTATAGAGCAAGCCGCCCTGCTGCATCAAGTGAGTATAGAGCAAGCCGCCCTGCTGCATCAAGTGAGTATAGAGCAAGCCGCCCTGCTGCATCAAGTGAGTATAGAGCAAGCCGCCCTGCTGCATCAAGTGAGTATAGAGCAAGCCGCCCTGCTGCATCAAGTGAGTATAGAGCAAGCCGCCCTGCTGCATCAAGTGAGTATAGAGCAAGCCGCCCTGCTGCATCAAGTGAGTATAGAGCAAGCCGCCCTGCTGCATCAAGTGAGTATAGAGCAAGCCGCCCTGCTGCATCAAGTGAGTATAGAGCAAGCCGCCCTGCTGCATCAAGTGAGTATAGAGCAAGCCGCCCTGCTGCATCAAGTGAGTATAGAGCAAGCCGCCCTGCTGCATCAAGTGAGTATAGAGCAAGCCGCCCTGCTGCATCAAGTGAGTATAGAGCAAGCCGCCCTGCTGCATCAAGTGAGTATAGAGCAAGCCGCCCTGCTGCATCAAGTGAGTATAGAGCAAGCCGCCCTGCTGCATCAAGTGAGTATAGAGCAAGCCGCCCTGCTGCATCAAGTGAGTATAGAGCAAGCCGCCCTGCTGCATCAAGTGAGTATAGAGCAAGCCGCCCTGCTGCATCAAGTGAGTATAGAGCAAGCCGCCCTGCTGCATCAAGTGAGTATAGAGCAAGCCGCCCTGCTGCATCAAGTGAGTATAGAGCAAGCCGCCCTGCTGCATCAAGTGAGTATAGAGCAAGCCGCCCTGCTGCATCAAGTGAGTATAGAGCAAGCCGCCCTGCTGCATCAAGTGAGTATAGAGCAAGCCGCCCTGCTGCATCAAGTGAGTATAGAGCAAGCCGCCCTGCTGCATCAAGTGAGTATAGAGCAAGCCGCCCTGCTGCATCAAGTGAGTATAGAGCAAGCCGCCCTGCTGCATCAAGTGAGTATAGAGCAAGCCGCCCTGCTGCATCAAGTGAGTATAGAGCAAGCCGCCCTGCTGCATCAAGTGAGTATAGAGCAAGCCGCCCTGCTGCATCAAGTGAGTATAGAGCAAGCCGCCCTGCTGCATCAAGTGAGTATAGAGCAAGCCGCCCTGCTGCATCAAGTGAGTATAGAGCAAGCCGCCCTGCTGCATCAAGTGAGTATAGAGCAAGCCGCCCTGCTGCATCAAGTGAGTATAGAGCAAGCCGCCCTGCTGCATCAAGTGAGTATAGAGCAAGCCGCCCTGCTGCATCAAGTGAGTATAGAGCAAGCCGCCCTGCTGCATCAAGTGAGTATAGAGCAAGCCGCCCTGCTGCATCAAGTGAGTATAGAGCAAGCCGCCCTGCTGCATCAAGTGAGTATAGAGCAAGCCGCCCTGCTGCATCAAGTGAGTATAGAGCAAGCCGCCCTGCTGCATCAAGTGAGTATAGAGCAAGCCGCCCTGCTGCATCAAGTGAGTATAGAGCAAGCCGCCCTGCTGCATCAAGTGAGTATAGAGCAAGCCGCCCTGCTGCATCAAGTGAGTATAGAGCAAGCCGCCCTGCTGCATCAAGTGAGTATAGAGCAAGCCGCCCTGCTGCATCAAGTGAGTATAGAGCAAGCCGCCCTGCTGCATCAAGTGAGTATAGAGCAAGCCGCCCTGCTGCATCAAGTGAGTATAGAGCAAGCCGCCCTGCTGCATCAAGTGAGTATAGAGCAAGCCGCCCTGCTGCATCAAGTGAGTATAGAGCAAGCCGCCCTGCTGCATCAAGTGAGTATAGAGCAAGCCGCCCTGCTGCATCAAGTGAGTATAGAGCAAGCCGCCCTGCTGCATCAAGTGAGTATAGAGCAAGCCGCCCTGCTGCATCAAGTGAGTATAGAGCAAGCCGCCCTGCTGCATCAAGTGAGTATAGAGCAAGCCGCCCTGCTGCATCAAGTGAGTATAGAGCAAGCCGCCCTGCTGCATCAAGTGAGTATAGAGCAAGCCGCCCTGCTGCATCAAGTGAGTATAGAGCAAGCCGCCCTGCTGCATCAAGTGAGTATAGAGCAAGCCGCCCTGCTGCATCAAGTGAGTATAGAGCAAGCCGCCCTGCTGCATCAAGTGAGTATAGAGCAAGCCGCCCTGCTGCATCAAGTGAGTATAGAGCAAGCCGCCCTGCTGCATCAAGTGAGTATAGAGCAAGCCGCCCTGCTGCATCAAGTGAGTATAGAGCAAGCCGCCCTGCTGCATCAAGTGAGTATAGAGCAAGCCGCCCTGCTGCATCAAGTGAGTATAGAGCAAGCCGCCCTGCTGCATCAAGTGAGTATAGAGCAAGCCGCCCTGCTGCATCAAGTGAGTATAGAGCAAGCCGCCCTGCTGCATCAAGTGAGTATAGAGCAAGCCGCCCTGCTGCATCAAGTGAGTATAGAGCAAGCCGCCCTGCTGCATCAAGTGAGTATAGAGCAAGCCGCCCTGCTGCATCAAGTGAGTATAGAGCAAGCCGCCCTGCTGCATCAAGTGAGTATAGAGCAAGCCGCCCTGCTGCATCAAGTGAGTATAGAGCAAGCCGCCCTGCTGCATCAAGTGAGTATAGAGCAAGCCGCCCTGCTGCATCAAGTGAGTATAGAGCAAGCCGCCCTGCTGCATCAAGTGAGTATAGAGCAAGCCGCCCTGCTGCATCAAGTGAGTATAGAGCAAGCCGCCCTGCTGCATCAAGTGAGTATAGAGCAAGCCGCCCTGCTGCATCAAGTGAGTATAGAGCAAGCCGCCCTGCTGCATCAAGTGAGTATAGAGCAAGCCGCCCTGCTGCATCAAGTGAGTATAGAGCAAGCCGCCCTGCTGCATCAAGTGAGTATAGAGCAAGCCGCCCTGCTGCATCAAGTGAGTATAGAGCAAGCCGCCCTGCTGCATCAAGTGAGTATAGAGCAAGCCGCCCTGCTGCATCAAGTGAGTATAGAGCAAGCCGCCCTGCTGCATCAAGTGAGTATAGAGCAAGCCGCCCTGCTGCATCAAGTGAGTATAGAGCAAGCCGCCCTGCTGCATCAAGTGAGTATAGAGCAAGCCGCCCTGCTGCATCAAGTGAGTATAGAGCAAGCCGCCCTGCTGCATCAAGTGAGTATAGAGCAAGCCGCCCTGCTGCATCAAGTGAGTATAGAGCAAGCCGCCCTGCTGCATCAAGTGAGTATAGAGCAAGCCGCCCTGCTGCATCAAGTGAGTATAGAGCAAGCCGCCCTGCTGCATCAAGTGAGTATAGAGCAAGCCGCCCTGCTGCATCAAGTGAGTATAGAGCAAGCCGCCCTGCTGCATCAAGTGAGTATAGAGCAAGCCGCCCTGCTGCATCAAGTGAGTATAGAGCAAGCCGCCCTGCTGCATCAAGTGAGTATAGAGCAAGCCGGCCTGTTGCATCAAGTGAGTATAGAGCAAGCCGCCCTGCTGCATCAAGTGAGTATAGAGCAAGCCGCCCTGCTGCATCAAGTGAGTATAGAGCAAGCCGCCCTGCTGCATCAAGTGAGTATAGAGCAAGCCGCCCTGCTGCATCAAGTGAGTATAGAGCAAGCCGCCCTGCTGCATCAAGTGAGTATAGAGCAAGCCGCCCTGCTGCATCAAGTGAGTATAGAGCAAGCCGCCCTGCTGCATCAAGTGAGTATAGAGCAAGCCGCCCTGCTGCATCAAGTGAGTATAGAGCAAGCCGCCCTGCTGCATCAAGTGAGTATAGAGCAAGCCGGCCTGTTGCATCAAGTGAGTATAGAGCAAGCCGCCCTGCTGCATCAAGTGAGTACAGCAGAAGAAGAGGGTTTAGGCCTCTTCGTTCTTCATCCTGTCACATTCTCATCATGTTCTATCACATCCCATCTCACCCCATCTCACCCCATCTCACCCCATCTCACCTCATCTCACCTCATCACACCGCATCTCACCGCATCCCACCCATCATCAGGTACTACAGGAACGGCCGTCACATTCTCTCGGCTGGCCTCGACAGAAGCTTCCGCATCTTCTCCACCGTCCAGGTATACTTTTATTACCGTTAATACCATTTTTCACTGTTCAGGTGTGCTTTGAATGGTTCAGGTGTGTTTTCAGCGCGTTAAAATACCTTTTGGACCGTTCAGTTGTGCCTTCAGGAGTACTCTCACATATCACCACTCTGCAGCGATAACAGCAACGCCAAGGGTTCTATTTTTTAGGAGATTAAACTGTCAATGCGAAGGGGTTTATTTCTTAGGCACCTAAAGAATTGTCTTTGAAGTTCATTTAGGCATCTCAGTTTTTTTTTCTCGCTGGAGCCATGTCTTGAAAGCTCAAACTCTTGTGCTCCTCTCCTCCCCTCCCTTTTCTACTCCTCCCCTCCCTTTTCTACTCCTCCCCTCCCTTTTCTACTCCTCCCCTCCCTTTTCTACTCCTCCCCTCCCTTTTCTACTCCTCCCCTCCCTTTTCTACTCCTCCCCTCCCTTTTCTACTCCTCCCCTCCCTTTTCTACTCCTCCCCTCCCTTTTCTACTCCTCCCCTCCCTTTTCTACTCCTCCCCTCCCTTTTCTACTCCTCCCCTCCCTTTTCTACTCCTCCCCTCCCTTTTCTACTCCTCCCCTCCCTTTTCTACTCCTCCCCTCCCTTTTCTACTCCTCCCCTCCCTTTTCTACTCCTCCCCTCCCTTTTCTACTCCTCCCCTCCCTTTTCTACTCCTCCCCTCCCTTTTCCATTCCTCCCTCCCTTTTCTACTCCTCCCCTCCCTTTTCTACTCCTCCCCTCCCTGTTCCATTCCTCCCTCCCTTTTCTTCTCCTCCCCTCCCTTTTCTACTCCTCCCCTCCCTTTTCTACTCCTCCTCTCCCTTTTCTACTCCTTCCCTCCCTTTTCTACTCCTCCCCTCCCTTTTCTACTCCTCCCCTCCCTTTTCTACTCCTCCCCTCCCTTTTCTACTCCTCCCCTCCCTTTTCTACTCCTCCCCTCTACCAGGACCAGCAAAGCCGGGAGTTATCACAGGGCAACTTCGAGAAGAGGATGAAGAGGGCGATGATGAAGGTGAGGGGGGAGGAAGAACAAAAGGGGGTGGGGTAAGGAGGTGTGACAGGTTATTGTATTCAGAGTAAACAAGGAGTTATCACAGGGCAACTTCGAGAAGAGGATGAAGAGGGCGATGATGAAGGTGAGAGGAAGAGGGGGGGTGGAGGGGGGTAGGGGAGAGAACTGATTGGTGACACACCGTTCTGGTAAGTGTGTGGGTGTGGGGTTACCACATGGACCAAGGGAGGGAGTTATCACAGGGCAACTTCGAGAAGAGGATGAAGAGGGCGATGATGAAGGTGAGGGGGTTGGGGGGAGGGCAGAAGGGGTGGAGGGCAGAAGGGGTGGAGGGCAGAAGGGGTGGAGGGCAGAAGGGGTGGAGGGCAGAAGGGGTGGAGGGCAGAAGGGGTGGAGGGCAGAAGGGGTGGAGGGCAGAAGGGGTGGAGGGCAGAAGGGGTGGAGGGCAGAAGGGGTGGAGGGCAGAAGGGGTGGAGGGCAGAAGGGGTGGAGGGCAGAAGGGGTGGAGGGCAGAAGGGGTGGAGGGCAGAAGGGGTGGAGGGCAGAAGGGGTGGAGGGCAGAAGGGGTGGAGGGCAGAAGGGGTGGAGGGCAGAAGGGGTGGAGGGCAGAAGGGGTGGAGGGCAGAAGGGGTGGAGGGCAGAAGGGGTGGAGGGCAGAAGGGGTGGAGGGCAGAAGGGGTGGAGGGCAGAAGGGGTGGAGGGCAGAAGGGGTGGAGGGCAGAAGGGGTGGAGGGCAGAAGGGGTGGAGGGCAGAAGGGGTGGAGGGCAGAAGGGGTGGAGGGCAGAAGGGGTGGAGGGCAGAAGGGGTGGAGGGCAGAAGGGGTGGAGGGCAGAAGGGGTGGAGGGCAGAAGGGGTGGAGGGCAGAAGGGGTGGAGGGCAGAAGGGGTGGAGGGCAGAAGGGGTGGAGGGCAGAAGGGGTGGAGGGCAGAAGGGGTGGAGGGCAGAAGGGGTGGAGGGCAGAAGGGGTGGAGGGCAGAAGGGGTGGAGGGCAGAAGGGGTGGAGGGCAGAAGGGGTGGAGGGCAGAAGGGGTGGAGGGCAGAAGGGGTGGAGGGCAGAAGGGGTGGAGGGCAGAAGGGGTGGAGGGCAGAAGGGGTGGAGGGCAGAAGGGGTGGAGGGCAGAAGGGGTGGAGGGCAGAAGGGGTGGAGGGCAGAAGGGGTGGAGGGCAGAAGGGGTGGAGGGCAGAAGGGGTGGAGGGCAGAAGGGGTGGAGGGCAGAAGGGGTGGAGGGCAGAAGGGGTGGAGGGCAGAAGGGGTGGAGGGCAGAAGGGGTGGAGGGCAGAAGGGGTGGAGGGCAGAAGGGGTGGAGGGCAGAAGGGGTGGAGGGCAGAAGGGGTGGAGGGCAGAAGGGGTGGAGGGCAGAAGGGGTGGAGGGCAGAAGGGGTGGAGGGCAGAAGGGGTGGAGGGCAGAAGGGGTGGAGGGCAGAAGGGGTGGAGGGCAGAAGGGGTGGAGGGCAGAAGGGGTGGAGGGCAGAAGGGGTGGAGGGCAGAAGGGGTGGAGGGCAGAAGGGGTGGAGGGCAGAAGGGGTGGAGGGCAGAAGGGGTGGAGGGCAGAAGGGGTGGAGGGCAGAAGGGGTGGAGGGCAGAAGGGGTGGAGGGCAGAAGGGGTGGAGGGCAGAAGGGGTGGAGGGCAGAAGGGGTGGAGGGCAGAAGGGGTGGAGGGCAGAAGGGGTGGAGGGCAGAAGGGGTGGAGGGCAGAAGGGGTGGAGGGCAGAAGGGGTGGAGGGCAGAAGGGGTGGAGGGCAGAAGGGGTGGAGGGCAGAAGGGGTGGAGGGCAGAAGGGGTGGAGGGCAGAAGGGGTGGAGGGCAGAAGGGGTGGAGGGCAGAAGGGGTGGAGGGCAGAAGGGGTGGAGGGCAGAAGGGGTGGAGGGCAGAAGGGGTGGAGGGCAGAAGGGGTGGAGGGCAGAAGGGGTGGAGGGCAGAAGGGGTGGAGGGCAGAAGGGGTGGAGGGCAGAAGGGGTGGAGGGCAGAAGGGGTGGAGGGCAGAAGGGGTGGAGGGCAGAAGGGGTGGAGGGCAGAAGGGGTGGAGGGCAGAAGGGGTGGAGGGCAGAAGGGGTGGAGGGCAGAAGGGGTGGAGGGCAGAAGGGGTGGAGGGCAGAAGGGGTGGAGGGCAGAAGGGGTGGAGGGCAGAAGGGGTGGAGGGCAGAAGGGGTGGAGGGCAGAAGGGGTGGAGGGCAGAAGGGGTGGAGGGCAGAAGGGGTGGAGGGCAGAAGGGGTGGAGGGCAGAAGGGGTGGAGGGCAGAAGGGGTGGAGGGCAGAAGGGGTGGAGGGCAGAAGGGGTGGAGGGCAGAAGGGGTGGAGGGCAGAAGGGGTGGAGGGCAGAAGGGGTGGAGGGCAGAAGGGGTGGAGGGCAGAAGGGGTGGAGGGCAGAAGGGGTGGAGGGCAGAAGGGGTGGAGGGCAGAAGGGGTGGAGGGCAGAAGGGGTGGAGGGCAGAAGGGGTGGAGGGCAGAAGGGGTGGAGGGCAGAAGGGGTGGAGGGCAGAAGGGGTGGAGGGCAGAAGGGGTGGAGGGCAGAAGGGGTGGAGGGCAGAAGGGGTGGAGGGCAGAAGGGGTGGAGGGCAGAAGGGGTGGAGGGGGTAATGAGTAAGGACACTTTTTGAGACGTCTCAAAACACTTCTTCAAACGGGTGGAGTGGGTAATGAGTAATTATCTGCGCGCTTACATGATTTGCAACTATCTGTCATCCGTGCACTAACATAGATGGTGGTAATTAGTAGTGAGCTCCTCATCACTTCTTCCGAGATAACTCGATACTCACCTCAAGAATTGATTGTTTAGATTGCGTATGCTGATTTGCATCATGTAGTATGAGGATACATATACATGATATGTCGGCGTAGGCAATCTACTTCCGTTTCTTCCTGTGCCGCCCTGCCCCTTCTCTGCGCTTCTCTTTGTTGACTTGAATCGTCTACTGTCCTTCACGTTCCTCTCCTCCTCTCCCTTTTCGTTCCCATCTGCGCCCTCTCTCACCCCTTGTTGCTGCTCTGACCCTTTATTTCTGCAGGAGGAGAAGCTGAAGCTGTCCAAGGTGGTATGCATAGATGCTGGTAAGCACAGTAATGCAACTCCACCGCTTATCTCTGGTCGGTTAATAGGGTGACTATTGAGCCGACACAGGAGGAGAAGCTGAAGCTGTCCAAGGTGGTATGCATAGATGCTGGTAAGGATTGACTACTTTTGAGGCAGCTCTTGAGGCGACTTTTGCGGCGCCTCTTGAGGCGACTTTTGAGGAGTCTGTCCAAGGTGGTTGCATAGATGCTGGTAAGCATTGCCTTTGTGTGGTAGTTGATTGAGGAGCTTCAGGTAGTTGGTAAGCATTGCGTCTGTGTGCTACACTTGGCTATTTCCCGTCCGAACCTTGTTTACCGCTTCGTACTGTTCTGTCCTCTTCACCCTTCGTCAACCCACTGTACCCCTCTGTATCCTTCTGTACCTCACTGTACCCCTCCATCAGCTGAGGTGCGGGAGCGGGACTGGGCGAACGTGATGACGTGTCACGAGGGCAACCCAGCAGCATTCGTGTGGGAGTTGAAGAACTTTGAACCGTTGTGGCACCACCTGTCTAACCTTGTTTACCACTTCTTAATCCCTTTCACCCCTCTGCACCCGGTTTCACTCCTTTTGACCGGTCTGTGCCTCTGATCAGCCGAGGTGCGGGTGATAGACTAGGCGAATGTGGTCACCTGTCACGAGGGCAACCCAGCAGCATTTGTGTGGGAGCTGAGGAACTTTGAATTGGCGTGATACATAATTACCTCGCACCTAACCTTGTTAATCACTTCTTACCACTCTGCACCCCTCTGTACCTTACTGTGCCCGATGTTCAGCTGAGGTGTGGGAGAGGGACTGGGCGAATGTGGTCACCTGTCACGAGGGCAACCCAGCAGCATTCGTGTGGGAGTTGAAGAACTTGGAACTGTTGCGGCGTGGCTACGTCCCCTCTAACCTTGTTACCACTTCTTGCCATTCTGACCTCCCTCTTCACCCCTTTTCACCCCGCTGTACCCCTCTGTACTTCACTGTACCCCCAACTTTCAGCTGAGGTGCGGGAGAGAGACTGGGCCAACGTCGTCACCTGTCACGAGGGAAACCCAGCAGCATTCGTGTGGGAGCTGAGGAACTTCGTCATTGGCAAGCTAAAGTTGGTGCCGCCAGGAATTGAACCCTCGCCTGCCACTGTAAGCAGTGTGATGTGCTTACTGCAACAGGTGTAATTGGGGCACAGGTATCACACACACAGGTCTTGCAGCATTCGTGTGGGAGTTGAAGAACTTTGTGATCGGCAAGCTGAAGCTGGTGCCTCCAGGAATTGAACCCTCGCCTGCCACTGTAATGAGTCGCTCACTCAACCCAGCACTTGGAAAGTGGTTTCCGAGACTTGTAGGTGTGAGGTTATAGCGAGTATAGATTACTGAAGGCTTTGCTGTAAGAGGGTATCCCAGCAGCATACGTGTGGGAGGAGCTCAGAAGCTCTGTAGTTGGGGAGGTAATGCTGCTTCCTGCAGGAATTGAACCGTCGTCTTCAACAATCATGGGTAAACTTCCAACAAGTACAAAAAGGCTTCCAAAAGCCTCTTCAGCCAGCCACATACACCTCTTCCATGTGGTTTCTGATAATTCTCAATATCCTCCTTCCTACTGTATCCTGTCCTGTCCGTGCTTCCCACCCCCTTTCTCCCAGTTCCCGTCCTCTCTTTCAATGCGCCCTGTCTTACTTAGCTTTCCCTCCCCGCTTCTCGTGCCCCTGCCACACTAGGCATGTGCTGCCTGCCAGAGTGTGCGGCAAATTTGCTCTAGTAGGCACCTCCTCGGGTCATCTACACCTCTTCCACCTGCAGTCAGCACGGCACCGAGTGGTTTACCAGTCAGCGACGATGCAGTACAGCCTACTCTTGCCTCCCCTCTTCCCTCCCCTTCCCTTCCCTTGCCACTTACCTTGCTCACCCCAGGCATGTGCTGCCAGCATGTGTGGAAACTTCGCTCTAGTCGGAACCTCCTCGGGCCATCTGCACCTCTTCCACCTGCAGTCAGCACGGCATCGAGTGGCATACCAGTCAGAGAAGATGCAGTACAGCCCCCTCTTCTGCTCCCGACTTGCCTCCCCTTCCCCTCCCTTGCTCACCTCACCCCAGGTGTGTGCTGCCAGCATGTGTGGCAACTTTGCATTGGTCGGCACCTCATTGGGCCATCTGCATCTCTTCCACCTGCAGTCAGCACGGCACCGAGTGGCGTACCAGTCAGAGAAGATGCAGTACAGCCTTCCCCTCTTCTGTTTCCTCCCTTCCCGTGCTAACGCCAGGCGTGTGCTGCCAGCATGTGTGGCAACTTCGCCCTGGTAGGCACCTCCTCGGGCCATCTCTTTCTCTTCCACCTGCAGTCAGCACGGCATCGAGTGGCGTACCAGTCAGAGAAGATGCAGTACAGCCCACTCCTCTGCTCCCGACTTGCCACTCCTTCCCCTCCCTTGCTCACCCCAGGTGTGTGCTGCCAGCATGTGCGGCAACTTCGCCCTTGTGGGCACCTCCTCGGGCCATCTGCACCTCTTCCACCTGCAGTCAGCACGGCACCGCGTGGCGTACCAGTCAGAGAAGATGCAGTACAGCCCGGCACATGGTGGCATGGTCACCGGCGCTGCTATTGATGCCCTTAACAGGCACAGCATCAGCTGCGGCAGAGATGGGCACGTCAAGGTGAGAGAGACTGTGAGAGCACAGGCAGGCAGTAGAGCAGAGAATGTGGCGTACCAGTCAGAGAAGATGCAGTACAGCCTGGCACATGGTGGCATGGTGACTGGCGCTGCTATTGATGCGCTGAATAGGCACAGCATCAGCTGCGGAAGGGACGGGCTTGTCAAGGTGAGAGAGAATGTGAGAGCACAGGCAGGCAGTAGAGCAGATAATGTGGCGTACCAGTCAGTCAGAGAAGATGCAGTACAGCCCGGCACATGGCGGCATGGTGACTGGCGGCGCTATTGATGCCCTCAACAGGCAGGCACAGCATCAGCTGCGGCAGAGACGGGCATGTGAAGGTGAGAAAGAGAAGAGCAGATGTGTTGGTATGGTATTCATGCATGTGCCATGTGCCACGCTCTGCAGCACAGCCCGGCCCATGGTGGCATGGTGGCATGGTGGCATGGTGGCATGGTGGCATGGTGGCATGGTGGCATGGTGGCATGGTGGCATGGTGGCATTCTGGCATTCTGGCATGCTGGCATTCTGGCATTCTGGCATGCTGGCATTCTGGCATTCTGGCATGCTGGCATGCTGGCATGTTGGCATGATGGTATGGGAATGTGGGCCGCTGTGGATGCTGGCAGAGCATCAGAACTGCTAGCTCAATTCAGGTCGATTTTTTTGTCGACTCAAAGATCGACGCATGAGAACTGGTAGCTCAATTTAGGTCGGATGCATTTTGATGCACTATGATGTGAATGTCACTCCCATTCTGTGATCCTCTCTCATCCCCAATCGTCCACTCGCCCTTGTCTCCCCCTGCCCCTTATTCTCAGGTCTGGTTTCTCAAGTCGGGTCGGCTTCGATTCGACGTGAATGTTGGCTCGCCTATAGTCAAGATGAAGTTTCATCACGGCAACAGTGAGTTTGCTTGTAGCGAGTGTAAATCTGGTTACTGAAGGCCGGTGTGACAACAGTGAGTGTAGGAAGCAATCACTGGATGTGGGCTTGCTGATTTTTAATGTAAAGCCTCCCTTCTTTCTCCCCCCCTCCCCCATTCTCTCCACCAGGCCTAGCAGCTATAGACTATGAGATTTTATCAACAGACACTTTGTTGAGATGCCCACATTCTGCCTGCTGAGATTCTGAACCTGAATCTTGTTGAGATTCACTCATCTCCTCTTCCTTGCCAACGTGAAAGGAGTCGTGTTTTGGGACGTCTCAAACACTGCTTTTCTCGCGTTTTCATGTCCCCTTTCCTGATTCACCCCCTCTTCCACTCACCCACCACCAGACCTAGCAGCGATCGCATGTGAGAATTTCACGACCTACATCTTCGACGCCGAGGCTGGCCGGCTGGTTCGGCGGTTCCCGGGCCACGAGGATCGGATCACCGCCGTCGAGATGAGCCCTGATGGCCGGTGGCTGCTGACGTCAGCCATGGATCTGACCGTGCGCACGTGGCACGTCGTGAGTGGCCGCCCGCTGGACGCCTTCCAGGTGCCGACAGCTGTCGTGGGGCTGTCCATGTCTCCTTCTTCGGACCTTCTCGCCACCATTCACCTGAATCGACGGGGGATCTACCTCTGGTGAGCGGCTGGTGGTGACTCTCTTTGCTGTCCATCCATCACGCAGACCTTGGTAAACAGACGCATTAAAAACCAGAGTGCTGCCTGTCGTGAGTGGCCGCCCGCTGGACGCCTTCCAGGTGCCGGCAGCTGTCGTGGGGCTCTCCATGTCTCCTTCTTCGGACCTTCTCGCCACCATACATTTGAACCGGCGCGGCATATACCTTTGGTAACCGTTAGATCAAACTCAGGTTATCTCATTATGTAACTGTTGCAGTCTGGTGGTCGGCCGTTAGGCTGGCCGCTGGGCTCCTTCCTTCCAGGTGCCGACAGCTGTGGTGGGGCTGTCCATGTCTCCGAGTTCGGACCTCCTTGCGACCATTCACCACAACCGTCGAGGAATATACCTCTGGTGAGCACGTGCTAGCAGCTCTGGAGCGCAGAATACCTAGGTGTTGAATGCGGTGCAGGCAGATGATTGCCTTCCAGGTTCCGACAGCTGTGGTGGGGCTGTCCATGTCGCCTTCCTCGGATCTTCTCGACACCATTCATCTGAACCGCAGGGGGATCTACCTCTGGTGAGCGCATGGCAGCACCTTGTTCATTCTTGCGAAGGTGTGTTACTGAGTTGCAAGTGCCGACAGCTGTCGTGGGGCTCTCCATGTCTCCCTCTTTAGACCTTCTCGCCACCATCCACCTGAACCGCCGCGGAATTTACCTCTGGTGAGCAGGTGCAATTGTCCAGCTGTAGCGAATCTGCATGTGGTGGTGAGTGCCTTGAGTTGAAAGTGCCTTCCAAGTGCCGACAGCTGTCGTAGGCTGTTCATGTCTCCCTCTTCAGACCTCCTCGCCACCATCCACCTCAACCGACGAGGAATCTACCCTTGGTTAGCACATGGCAGCAGAATATTTAGGTGTTGAATGCGGTGCAGGCTTGTGGACGCCTTCCAGGTGCCGACAGCCGCCGATCCCCACCACAGCTGCCGACACTTTCAGCTCAGAACAAGCCTCATTGGAATCAGTAAAGAACGTACCAGAGGTATATGCCTCGGCGGTTCCAATGAATGGTGGCAACAAGGTCCAAACTCGGAGACATGGACAGCCCCACGACAGCTGTCGGCACCTGGAAGGCGTCCAATTGCCGGCAACGGGAGCACCACCACTGGTGTTGGCACTAATACCACATGCAACAACAGCGATTGGGAAGAGAGGAGAGGGAGGGGCTGAAGAGGCACTTGCAATTCCACAAGGCACATACCAGAGGTATATGCGTCGGGGTGACTTTTTAGTCGGATCAAAAGTCACCCCGAGGTGTATGCCTCGGCGGTTGAGGCACCCCAGAGTCACAAGGCACGTACCAGAGGTATATGCCTCGGCGGTTGAGGTGAATGGTGGCATGGCAAGGGGGTCCGAACCCATCATTCACCTTGCTGACGCCCTCTCATTCCTTCTGCTCTCTCTTGTCTCCGCTGCCCCCACTTACCCCCTCCTGCTTCTCAGGGCGAACAAGGCCATGTATTCTGGTATAGACGACTCCGACCTCCTCCCAGCTCCCCTATCCCTCCCCTCCACCACCAATGGCAACAGCACCACCAACATTGCCTCCTTTTCCCCCCCTCCTCCCCCTCCCCCACCATTTTCAGGGCCAACAAAGCCATGTATTCTGGGATAGACGATTCCGACCTTCTCCCAGCTCCCCTCTCCCTCCCTGCCGCCACCACAACGGACGGTGCCGGGACCAATAGCAGCGTGCCAGCTGTCCAGATGCCGATTCTGATTGGCCCGAACGAGGGAGCGGAGGGGGAGGAGGAGGATGAGGAAGGGAGGAGGGTGGGTGGGAGGGGTGTGGGGGCAGGGGATGTGGCCGTCATTGCTGGGGAGGGGGGAGGAGGGAGAGGGGGAATGAGTGGGGGAGAAGGGGAAGGAGGGAGAGGGAAGGGCGACGGGGGGACGAGAGCAGAACACTGGACTGTTGAGGAGGCAGAGAGAGAAGCGATGGAATATGAAACCAGTACCGGAAAGGGAAAGCTCGGGACAGGAGGAGAAGGCAAGGGGCAGCAGCAAGCAGGGGAGAACCAGAACCAGCAGCAGACCCAGCAGCAGAATCAACAGCTGCAGCTGCAAGTCCCCGGGCTGATATCCCGTGCCATGCTGCCTCGCTCGCAGTGGGTGAATCTAGTCATGCTAGATGTGATCAAGGAGAGGAACAGGCCCATCCAGCCACCTAAGAAGCCTGAGCAGGCGCCTTTCTTCCTCCCCTCTGTTCCGACGTTTTCGGGGGCGATTCACTTTGCTCCTCCACAGGCCGGTACTGCTGGAGGCTCGGCCGAACCTGCTGGAGCTGCCGGTTCGGCCGAACCTGTTGCCGCAGCTGCCGGTGCTGTTGGTGCAGGTGCTTCAGGTGGTTCTTCAGGTGGTGCTTTGCCTGGGTGGGGGAGTGAGGGAGATGCGGAGATGGAGGAAGGGGAGGAGGAGGAGGGGAGTGAGGAGGGGGAGGAGGGAGGAGAGGAGGCCGAGGAGGGAGGGAAGAAGGGGAGTGTGTTGGGAAAGAGGAGGCATGGGAGGGTGGTGAAGGGAGGTCTGGGCGAGTCTGAAATGGACACTGAACTAATGAGGGCCATCAGGAGAGGAGCACAGAGCGAGCCAGCAGACTGTGAGTGGCTTGTGGCTCTCTCTCACTCACTCTCTCTCGCTCACTCACTCTCTCTCACTCACTCACTCTCACACACCATTCTGTGGTGGGGCATGCACCCAACAGTATGAGGTCTGGAGGAGTCTGAGATGGACACTGAGCTGATGAGGGCCATCAGGAGAGGAGCACAGAGCGAGCCAGCAGACTGTGAGTCGGCTTGTCTCCCTCTCTTACACTCACAAACGGCACACTGTGAGGTATGCATGAATGCACCCCACAGGAGGACTGGAGGAGCCTGAAATGGATACTGAGCTGATGAGGGCCATCAGAAGAGGCGTGCAGCGCGAGCCAGCAGACTGTGAGTGGAGTGGCTTGCCTCACTGCGTTGCTGAAAGCCATGTTGCCATTCACCAGATGGCAACGCGTTGCCTACGGTGAGTGAATGGCAACCTGGCTTTCATCTCGTGATGTTCCACACTCTCCCCCCTCACCTCGCCCTCCCCCCTCACCTCACTCTCCTTCACCTCACTCTACCTCCTCACCTCGCTCTCCCTCCTTTCGTTCCCCTTTCCGCCCCTTCTCTCTTTACCCTCCCCTTCCCCCATACTCTCCCCTTCCCCCATACTCTCCCCTTCCCCCATACTCTCCCCTTCCCCCATACTCTCCCCTTCCCCCATACTCTCCCCTTCCCCCATACTCTCCCCTTCCCCCATACTCTCCCCTTCCCCCATACTCTCCCCTTCCCCCATACTCTCCCCTTCCCCCATACTCTCCCCTTCCCCCATACTCTCCCCTTCCCCCATACTCTCCCCTTCCCCCATACTCTCCCCTTCCCCCATACTCTCCCCTTCCCTCAGACTCCCAAGCCATGGCACTGCTCAAGGCCATGTCGCCGTCAGCCGTTGATCTGGAGCTGCGGGCGATCGAGATCGTCGATGACAGCCCCTCCCCAGCCGACCTGCACCGGGTGGCTCTCTTTATGTCCTTCTTGGAAGGAAAGCTTCGAGGAAGCTGTGACTTTGAGCTGCTGCAAGCCGTGACTCATCGATTCCTGGCGGTATGTCCATGAGGAGTGAAAATTGGTGCTACAAGCCGTGACTCATAGATTAGGGTTTATGGTTTGGGGTTCGGGAGGTTGGGCGATCAAGATCGTCGATGACAGCCCCTCACCAGCGGATTTGCACCGGGTGGCTCTCTTCATGTCCTTCCTGGAGGGAAGCTTCGTGGAAGCTGCAACTTTGAGCTGCTGCAAGCCGTGACTCATCGATTCCTGGCGGTACATGGGGTGGGTAAGAGGGAGGAAGTGTATACGGTTGAGGGTTGAAAAACCAGGGTTCAGGGTGTGCGGTTTGGAGCTGCGAGCGATCAGAATCGTCGTCGATGACAACCCCTCCCCAGCGGACCTGCACCGGGTGGCCCGATTCATGTCCTTCTTTGAAGGGCGGCTTCATGGAAGCTGCGACTTCGAGCTGCTGCAAGCCGTGACTCGTAGAATCCTGGGGGGTATGTTTGTCGGTTGGTGGGAATGAGGGTGTGTGTGGGCGGGTGGGTGGGGGTAGGAGTGAGGATGTGTGTGGGTGGGTGGGGTTGAGTCTCTGTGTGGTTCCTCTTGTCCTGTGTTCCTCTTCTCTCTTGTCCTTCAGCAATCCTGGAGATCCTGCCTCCCCCAAGAGCATCCCTTTCCAGCCAACTTAACACAGCAGCGCTGTTTCGTCTCATCCGTTCCTGCGATCCCCCTTTGTCTTGTCTTGGCTCTCTCCTTTCCCTCTCATCATATCCACGGGTCAGCCATCTCATCATTCCCTCAGCTGCGCGCCAAGCTGCCTGTCCTCAAAGAAGTCCAGGCATCCAGCAGGCAGCGGCTCAACGAGTTGGTTCAGGTCCCCATCTGTGCTTCCACTTCCCCTCCCCTCTTCCCACTCCCCCACAAAACAGATCCACGGGTCAGCCATCTCATCATTCCCCCAGCTGCGCGCCAAGCTGCCTGCCTTCAAAGAAGCCCAGGCCTCCAGCTGGCAGCGGCTCGATGAATTGTTTCAGAGCATTCGCTGCGTGGTTGACTTCATCGCTTCATCCTAGATCACTAAAAATCGTCGCTGTGTCAGTCAGCATTCAATGCGCTGTCATTTTCGTTGCTTCCTTGGCTTTTTTTAGTCAAGTAGAAGATCGGCTCGGCTGTCCGTCCACCTCTGTTCCCTAAGTTTATCATCTCGAATGAGTTTGAGTGCTCTAGACTAGAATGTGATGCACCTTATCGAACCGCAATCAATGCGTGACACTGCTTTTATCATGCGAAATGCATGCTCATTACATTCTGAACAGCTCGAAACACGTACAAACATTACTAGTTCTAAACTTGCAAGATCAAGAAAAGCACCTCATGCATTGGTCTTGCATGAGTTCCTGCATGAGTTCCTGCATGCAGCAATACCAAGCCCTCGTGTACTGTATTTATTTCTAAAAGTACTGTAGCTAACTATCGGCCTCTCCTTGTGCTAACAGGTGCCTGCTGCTGCTGCTGCTGCTGCTGCCTGCTCTTCGGGGGTGCCTGCCTTGCTGTCTGCTCCAGTGTTGCCTCCATCTCCTCCTCTGCTTCCTGGAGATAGAAGATAAGGTGCAAGCAGAGAAGAGGGCCAAAGAGGAAGGGATAAAGCGTGAGGAGAGAAGGATTATAAGGCTGGCTGCCTCGCTGTGTGCTCCAGTGTTGCCTCCATCTCCTCCTCTGCCTCCTGGAAAGGGGAGGAGAGCAGAGGACAGGGTGAGAGTGTAAGAGAGGGGGAGGAGGGCATGAGGATTATGGGGAACAGAAGAGTGCCTGCCTTGCTGTCTGCTCCAGTGTTGCCTCCATCTCCTCCTCTGCCTCCTGGAGTGAGAAGATAAGTGCAAGGAGAGAAGACGGTGAAAGAGGAAAGGATAGGGCGCGAGGAGAGAAGGCTTTTAAGGCTGCCTGCCTTGCTGTCTGCTCCAGTGTTGCCTCCATCTCCTCCTCTGCCTCCTGTGGAGAGGAGACAATAGGGTGCATGGAGAGCGGGGGGGAAGAGGAAGGGCATGAGGAAGGGGGGGAAGACGAAGGGATAGGGCATGAGGAGAGCTGGTTTATAAGGCTCGCCGCCATGGCTTGGAACTACTGCTCCTCGTCTATTGAATCCTACACCTTGAGAGTGCATAGTTCAGTTCATCAAACAATACACAGCACAGCACAGCACAGAGAGGCAGAGGAGGGGAGAGGGGGGGAGAACAGCAGGAGGGTTATGGGGAGCAAAAGGATGCCTGCCTTGCTGTCTGCTCCAGTGTTGCCTCCATCTCCTCCTCTGCCTCCTGGAAAGGTGGGAGAGTAGGGTAGGAGGGAAGGACAGCACAAGAGTCATATGAGGAAAAAGGCTGGCTGTTTCGCTGTCTGCGCCAGTGTTGCCTCCATCTCCCCCTCTGCCTCCTGGGAATGGGAGGAGAGTAGAGGGGGGAGGGGTAGAGGAATGGCTTGGAACTGCTGCTCGTCGCCTATCGCACCCAACACCTAAATGGCATGGCTTGAGTCATGATCAAGGCACCACACCACATCACAGCTGCACCACACCACATCACAGCTGCACCACACCACATCACAGCTGCACCACACCACATCACAGCTGCACCACACCACATCACAGCTGCACCACACCACATCACAGCTGCACCACACCACCCCAGCACCACACCACCCCAGCAGCACACCACCCCAGCATTGCTGCTCCTCGTCTATTGCATCCAACACCTCATGAGCGTCAGCAGAACCACTACACATCACACCACCACACCATCACGCGCGTACAACCGGACACCCCAGCACCGCTCACTACCATGGCTTGAAATTGCTGCTCCTCGTCTATCGCACCCAACACCTTGAGAGAGCACAGCTTAACTCATCAATCGATACCTAGAAACAGGGCACGGCATCCCATCACACCACCATCCCACAGCACCACACCGCACCACCCCAGCACCGCTCACCACCATGGCTTGGAACTGCTGCTCCTCGTCAATTGCGTCCAACACCTTGGGATCGTTTAGAAGCTCCTGATGGGATGAAACAAGTAGGGACACAGTGGGGAAGAAGGGCAGGGAGAAGAGGTGGTAGGTAGGGAGAGAGACAAGGAGGGAAAGGCAGTGAAAGATGGAAGAGCAGAGCTCAGTAAATATATCTACACTATTTGGTATGGATATAAAAAGAGTACTCAGTAAGTATAAGAACCAACGGACACTCGGAATGACTATTGAAGGGCCACAAATGGCTTAGCTTCTCATTTTCAGACGAGCAACCACGTTATTGCAAGCTGAGAAGAAGTTCTAAATAACTTCTTGAAGGTGTTAACGATCTTAGCGCCTACAAGCAACAAAACGTGCACTTCTATTAGGCTCAACAGGAAAGGTGGATCTTGTTACTTACAGGATCCTCGGCCACGAGAATTTCATCGGTCTTGGGATTCTGATACAAACAAGTGGGAGAATGCAATAGAAGTAACAGGGCATGCAACACAACAGACTTATTCCCGGTTGAAAAAGTGAATGGCCGGCAGGCAGTTTTGGAATGAAAGATAACGACATGCATTTTTTAAAAAAGGAAATAAAGTGCACACACCTTAACGGCACACGAAAATGATTGCAGGAGGGAGAGGACGTCTGAAACAGATGGGGAGCAAGTGTAACACGCGGGTGATCCGTACCTTGTATGCGACGAACATGAGCGGATCAAAAGGCGTGTATATCATGTACTCCTGCCCGCCCTGGTGGGGATGGGTGAGTGGAAGCAGGGGGGTAGGTAGGGAAGGTAGGTTGCTGCATTGAGAAACAGCTCAGAGAAACATGAGCGGGTCAAAGGGCGTGTATATCATGTACTCCTGCCCGCCCTGGTGATGTGTGGGCAGGTGCATGGAGGTAGGGTAATATTACACGCAGTAAGGGTGATGATGGTGTCAGTCAGACAAACATGACAGGGTCGAAGGGCGTGTAAATCATGTACTCTTGCCCGCCCTGGAGGTTTGGTAGTGGAAGAGTGGACAGAGGGGGTTGCGATGGATAGGGGAGGAATGATGGATAGGGGGTCCCTCAGACTAGCATGAGAGGGTCGAAGGGCGAGTATATCATGCACTCCTGCCCGCCCTAGTGGTGCGTGGTCAGGGATGGGTTGAGGGCAAGAGAATTGGATTGTATGAAGGGATTAGTTGAATCACTTCAAGCCACCAACCACTTTGCACCCATGTCAAACAGCTCTAGGCCATCTCACAGCAAGAAGTAAAACTTAGAGAAGTAAAACTCACAGTAAGAGACGTGGAAGTGTCGCTCTCTTCAGCTAAAGAACCCCCCATCCCAAAGCAATATAAACCACATTGAACCGTTTTAAAACACCTCGAACCACTGGGAGAACTCCGACTCACAGACAAAAACGTGGTGATGTCAACCCCTTCAGCCAGGGATCCCCCAATGCCAAACCCCAGCTCTGCAGGCTCGTGTGTAGGGGGGTGTGAGAAAAAGGAAAGATGAGGCGCCTGAAAAATGCATTCTCGCATGTAAGGGGGTGTGAGAAGAAGGAAAGAAGGATGGGAAGATTTTTGAGACGTCTCAATGCCAAACCCCAGCTCTGCAGTGTCGCGTGTAAGGGCGTGTGAGAAGAAGGAAAGAAAGATGGGAAGACAAAACATTGACATTTTCTGTATCGGCATCTTTTGAAATCACTCTTTTATTTTGACTTCACTCATGCCTCATGCCCCATGTTCCAAGGCCCATGAGTCCATGACTCATACCTTACAATGCCTGCCCCATGCCCCATACCACACGTCTCACACCCCATGTCCCTCCCAAGCCGCATGACATCAGCATGACCTCACCAGTGTCCAGGTTGATGACGTCATCCTCTGTGAAGCAGATGGCTCCTCTGAGAGTGAGGGTGAAGCTGCGAGGAGAAGAGCGAGGGACATTGGTGGGGGGGTGTCATGTCAAGTATTGAAAGAGGAGGACGAAAATGCCGATGGGAGGAAAGCAGCGCAGCGCCATACTTGGACAGACTAAAAGTGAAGCAGATGGGTCTTCTGAGGGTGAGGGTTAAGCTGCGAGGAGGGATGAGGGGAGGGTGGTGGATGGGGGAGGTGGGCGGGAGTAGGAGAAGTAGAGTCAGCTTTGGGCGCTGTGAGGGCAAAGTGAAGCAGATGGGTCTTCTGAGGGTGAGGGTTAAGCTGCGAGGAGGGATGAGGGGATGGGGGATTGGATGGGAACAGAAGAAAGAAGATGGGATGAGAGGGTGAAGCAGATGGCTCTTCTGACGGTGAGGGTGAAGCTGCAAGGAGGGGCGGGGAAGGGGAGATGGGGAGGGGAGAGGGGGAGGGGAGGAGATGGAGTATGGAGACAGGAGGAAAAAAAGTGGCGATGAGAGGGAAGACCTTTGTGATGAAGCAGATGGCGCGTCTGAGGGTCAGGGTGAAGCTGACAGGATGGGTGGGGGATGGGAGAGGGGATGTGAGAGGGGAGGTGTGGTTATAATGGGAGCAGTGGCGATGAGAGGAAAGATGCTGGTGAAACAGATGGCTCCTGTGAGAGTGAGGATGAAGCAGCGAGGAGGAGTGGGGTGAGGGGGTTGGATCAGGACAAAAGAAAGAATGGGTGACGAGGGGGTGAAGGAGATGGCCCTTCTGAGAGAGGATGAAGCTGCGAAGAGGGAGATTGTGGGGGGTTGGGGTTGGGCAGTTAAAGGGTAGAGGGTAAAGCTGAGTGGACGGATGGGGGATGGGAAGGGAGGGGGTGTGGGGGATAGGACATTGAGTGTAAAGGGGGGAGAAGGGGACGGGGTGCAGATGAAGGTGAGAGGAGGGATGGTGGGGAGCAGAGTATAGGAAGAGTATGGGAGTGGAGAGGGGCACGTTGAGACAAGAACTGCACACATCATCACATCACATCACATCACATCACATCACATCACATCACATCACATCACATCACATCACAACACATCACAACACATCACATCACATCACATCACATCACATCACATCACATCACATCACATCACAACACATCACAACACATCACATCACATCACATCACATCACATCACATCACATCACATCACATCACATCACATCACATCACATCACATCACATCACAACACATCACATCACATCACATCACATCACATCACATCACATCACATCACATCACATCACATCACATCACATCACATCACATCACATTATGGCCTTTTGAAAGGGCGGCATCAGGTTCTTTGGGCACTTCTCGAGTCACTTTGAGAAATCTTTCCACAGCGACCTCAACATACAAATGTGCATGCTCGCACATGACCGCGGTCACAACATGACCCTTCCTCCCCACCTCATGTCACCACCAGCTACATACTAGCTACAGCCATAGCTGGTGCACCAGCTACACACACCCAGCGCTTATAAGGACGTCATGAGCCCTCTGCCACTGCCTCCTAATCATCCTGCTCGCTGGTTCGACACGTTGGCCTTTGAGGCGCCTCAAAAGCACGTTGGCCTCTCACCCTGAAGGCGTCAGGTGCAGGCTTTTCTTCGCCAGAGCATAAGCAGCAGCAGGCATAATCCTCTCGGCTTCCTCATCGTCCACCTCTTGCAGCTCTCCTGTTCGCCCCGAGATGCGGAAGAACATGATCGGACTGCAGGTGGGGGGAGGGTGGTTGAGGGAGTGGGGAGGGATGGTGAGGGGTGGTGAGGGGTGATGGGCGCGCTGCTCCTCCTCGTCTGCCTCCTCATCATCCACCTCCTGTAGCTCACCTGCCCTTCCTGAAATGCAGAACATCATGATGGGACTGGAGTGATGGGCGGGAAGTAGGATCAAGGGAATGCACGGATCGAGCGCCTTTAGGAGGCGCCTGAAAAAGGAAGTGGAGGTGGAGAAGGGAAAAGGGGACGACGAGCGAGTTGGAGAAGCAGGGGAGGACATGGGAGATGCGGTTTGAGTGGACTCAGAACAGGCAGGAGCACGTGCAGAGGCACATTCATAGGCACATATGTGTCGAGGGGGTGCAGAAGGAAAAAGGGGACGTCAAGGCACATGGGAGGACGTGGGAGATGCGTTTTGAGGCTCGGAACAAGCAAAGGCACATGTGGATAGACTTTCAGAGGCACATACGAGTCAAGGGGGTGGAGAAGGAAGAAGGGGACGCCAAGTGAGTTGGACAAGCAAGGGAGGAATTAAAAATATGCGTTTTGAGTTGACTCAAAACAAGCAAAGGCACATGCGGAAAAAACACACGTGTCAAGAGGGTGGAGCAGGAAGAAGGGAACGTTAAGCGAGTTGGAGAAGGCTCGTCGAATGACACAATCCAAAGAGCGGTTGGTGATGGGGTCATGCTGCATGGTGAAGGGAGAAAGAAAAGGAGGGTGGAGGGGACAAACAGGGGCAATGAGGAGCAATGAGGGGCAAGCGAGTTGGAGAAGGCGCATCGAAAGGGAAGATGGGATGGGAAAGGGCTCAATGCGGGCGACAATTGGAATGAGGCCAATGAAGATTTGCAGAAACGGCGCATCGAATGACACAATCAAAGGAGCGGTTACAGACTCACAATGGTGAGCGTTCTCCTCTCAGCACGAGCAGCCAACACCACCTCCCCCTCATCGTCCAACACAAAGCCTGCTAGTGGACTGCTGACATGGCAACCAACCACACTACCAGCAGACACTCACAATGGTGAGCGTTCGCCTGTCGGCAGGAGCAGCCAGCACCACCTCCCCTTCATCGTCCCGCCGGTGGGCCAGTAATTGTGGTTGACACGGTAACCATAAACCACAGCAACACTAACTCACAATCGTAAGTGTTCTCCTGTCAGCAGGTGCAGCGAGCACCACCTCTCCATCATCGTCCAGCACAAAGCCCCCCGGTGGGCCAGATATTGTGGTTGGCATGATAACCTGTACTAACGGAAAGAGCCACTTACAATGGTGAGTGTTCGCCTCTCGGCAGGAGCAGCCAACACCACCTCTCCATCATCGTCCAGCACAATGCCAGCCGGTGGGCCAGATATTGTGGTTGGCATGATAACCTGTATTAACGGAAAGAGCCACTCACAATGGTGAGTGTCCGTCTCTCAGCAGGAGCAGCCAGCACCACCTCTCCATCGTCGTCCAACACGAAGCCTGCTAGTGGACTGCTGACGTGGCAACCAACCACAATACCAGCAGACACTCACAATGGTGAGCGTTCGTCTATCAGCAGGAGCAGCCAGCACCACCTCTCCATCGTCGTCCAACACAAACCCTGCCGGTGGGCTCGGCATGGGAAGCTTCAGCAATTCTTCCTCCTCTGAATCCACCTCCTCCTCATCTTCATCACCCTCCACTTCCAAATCACTCCCTCCTCCTCTCCCTCCTCCTCTACCCCAAAATCTCTCGTCCTCGCTGCCACTATCATTATCAGACCCCTCTCTTCTGGTTGCCTGCATTGAAACATTGTGGCAATGAGAGGCATGCATGGCGTGGGGTGAGAAAAGGGCAAGGCAAGTGAGTGATGAGATCAACTCTGTCATCATCGTCAGACCCCTCTCTTCTGGTTGCCTGCATTGAGACATTGTGGCAATGAGAGGCATGCATGCATGCATGGCGTGGGGTGAGAAAAGGGCAAGGCAAGTGAGTGATGAGATCAATCTCGTCATCATCATCACACCCCTCTCTTCTGGTTGCCTGCAATGAGCAAGATAGATTGTGCCATTGAGAGGGATGGTGCGGGGCGAGTGAGAGGGGGGCAAGTGAGCGGTGAGATCATGATATTCAGACCCTCACAGAACCCAAGACCGAGATCATGACGCTTTAACAGAGCCGAAACCCTACAAACCCTAGAATTAACTCTACCTTCAACCCTGATCCGCTTGCTTTATGTCCTTGCAAAGACACTTCGCCCTCGCCTCGCTAAACCCCAAGTCTCAGAACCCTAGAAATCGCCCATAAAAAATGGGGCCATTTTTCCCATCCAGATTCCCTTTTCTCAAATAATGTCAGAGACTGAGTTCCTCTCAACCGATCTTCACTCCTTTCCTCCCTCAGCCCCTCATTAAAGTCCTTGTCTCTCTTCATTCCCCATGAAGTTTTTCCTGCCCGCACCTCTTCCCTCAGCCTTTCCCTTCCTAAGGCGCCTGAAATGCAGCCGCCTACAAAATCGAGGAGTCTCGAAAACAAAGTAACTCCTCGCCACCCCGCTTTAATCCCAACCGTGTCTCGACTCCCAACTACCCCCAGCCCCAATACTAACCTCCTCATCGCGACTTGAGACTAAAAATCGCCCGTTTTGTCCCTCCCCTTTCTCTCCACTTCCAGATTCGTTCCTTCCCGTTCTCTTCCTGCTACCCTTCCATTTCCCTTCGCTCTACCTGCTTTCTCGCGCCCCCTGCCGCTGAACCCGCACCAGTCACCGCCGATTTTCCCGCGCCCTTCGCTCCGCCTTTCCGGTTATTCTTTCCCGATTTCGCGCTCCCGCCGGTTCCACTGCATACTGCTGCTTCCGGCTCTGCTGATCGTGGTCGTATTGCTTTCCGTAACGCGTCCCGTGCGAGAGCTGCGACTAGCCAATGCGACAGTGCGACGGTTTTGTGTCGGCCATGCGATCGTGTGAAAGCTGCATGTTCTGAAAGCTTCTCGGGATGCGGCTGTGTACGGCACGCTGCGGGCCAAGCCGGCGGGGGGTTGTGACAGTAACGATTTCATCATGCCATTCGTTGAAACGCGGGTCGCAATAGCCGTTGAGAATGTTCTGCGTGGCACCCCCAAGAAAGACATCAGCCTCGCCCTAGCTCAACGGCGTGTCTGGACAACAGTGTTTCAGTGTCAGCCACTGCACTACGGGTTTCGTTACCTGCACTTAACGAAAACGATGCTTGTTTCGCGTTTTCGCATAAACGAACTCAAACCGAAGTGCGGCGTCTGTTCACGCGTGGTGACGATTTGTGAGCCGAACAGCAAGGGCAGAGTCGGATCGAGCCTGAGATAAAAAAGTACGGATCGATCAGGTCGGGGTGTTAAGGTGCAAACCTAATCAATCCCGCGTGATCTCGGGTGTGTGCAACGCGTCTGAACGAGGCCTCGAATCCACTTTACAAGCTCTTTCGGCAGTGCCCATGCCCAAGCCAGAATTCGTGAGTACAAAACTCCACTTCTGCTCCTACAGCTATATAAACATTATACAAAAGTTATCAAGGTTGGGTATCTGAGATCGAGCCATGCAAACGATCAGATGCCATTACAGGTCATCAATCTCTTCTGGTTGCAGTGCCTTTTGAGCACGTAGCTCCCTCAGTGCCATCATCAACTCTGTCACACACCAAGCGGTCCCCTCTCGACTCAACCTCTGACGGGAACCTATAAACATGTTAAGACAGTAACTCTTCACTACAGGTAACCAATCTCTTCGGGTGCTGCGGTTGCTGTTGCTTTCCTTGCTGGTAGCTCCATCAGTGCCATCATCAACTCAGTATCACACACCAAGCGGTCTTGACTCAACCTCTGACGACAACCTGTAGGCACATAAAGGCTAGATATTCACTACAGGTCATCAATCTCCTCTGGAGCTGCAGTTGCAGTGGCTTTCCTTGCGCGTAGCTCCCTCAGTGCCATCATCAACTCCGTGTCACACACCAAGCGGTCCCGACTCAATCTCTGACGGCAACCTGTAAAAAAGCAAAGAAGAATGATATATGTACCACGAACCATTGTTGGTAGGCACAACCAGACCAATTGTTCAAGTTGGAGAGAGGAGTAAAAGGGAGCCACCATTGCGGTTTAGCATGTCTGATTTGTTCACAAAATCGGACGTAGCTGAGAAATCTTACCAGAGACAGGGCAATTCCTGCTTTGGGTCATATTTTCCAATATCGCGCTCTTCTCATACACATGGCGACAATCCAAGCTGACATGAGTGGTTGGTGGGGAAGGGGAAGGGGGGAAAGGGAATATAGTATTCTGTAAAACAATCTCCAATATGGCGCTCTTTTCATACACATGGCGACAATCCAAGCTGAGATGAGTGGTTGGTGGGGAAGGGGAAGGGGAAGGGGGGAACGGGAAGAGGGGAAAGGGGATAGTGTTCTGAGAAATAATTTCCAATATCGCACTCTTCTCATACACATGGCGACAATCCAAGCTGAGATGAGTGGTTGGTGGGGAAGGGGAAGAGGGGAAAGGGGATAGTGTTCTGTGAAATCATTCCCAATATGGCGCTCTTCTCATACACCTGGCAAAAATCCAAGCTGAGAAAGGCGGTTGGTGCGGACAAAGAGGAGGACAATGGGGGGAGTGGGAGGGTTGGGAATATAGTGCTTTGAAATTTAACTTCCAATACAGTGCTCTTCTCATACACGTGGGGAGAAGCACATAGACAAAAGCTCGACCACAACCAGCACAATTGACATACACACACAGAGAAGTAACACACACACAGAGTAACACCCTCGAAAGCAAGCAAACCAAAACACATCAACAGGGGTGGGAGCGAGAAGAAGTATAAAACAAAACCCCACCAGCAGACAGGGTCATCCAGGTCTTCCACGTGGCGCATGGTGATTGGGCAGTTGGGATTCTTGACAATCAGATTGGTCGTCATCATGACTTCATCATCCTCATCGTCATCATCCCCAGCACCTTCTCCTCCCTGCCTCGCACTCTGCAGTGAGGGGAAGAGAGGAGGGAAGGAGGGAGCAGAGGGGAGGAGCAGACAACTCATGACTTCATCGTCCTCATCGTCATCATCCCCAGCACCTTCTCCTCCCTGCCTCACACTCTGCAGTGAGGAAAAGGTAAGCACGAGAGGGGAGGGAGGAGGAGACGAGGACGGAGCAGACAAGAACTCATGACACCATCACTTCATCATCATCAAAATCATCAGAATACGACTGTTTTTGAGACGTCTCTAGAACACTCTTCTTCCACGTGCCGTTCCTTCATCATTCTCATCATCATCAGAATAATCAGAATCATCCCTCCCACTTCTCCCCCCTGCCTGGCACTCTGCCATGAGGGGAGGAAGCAAGGTAAGCATGAGGGCAAACGAAGAGCAGGGAGGAGGGAGCAGACATTAGCTCATGACACGATGGCTTCATCACACAACTTCATCATCATGACGTCATCATCATGACATCATCATGACGTCATCATCATGACTTCATCACCATGACGTCATCATCATGACTCCATCATCATGACGTCATTATCATGACTCCATCATCATGACGTCATCATCATGACGTCATCATCATGACTTCAGTATCCAGCATTCTGTCCCCTTCCCACCCACCCGAATGGTTTGTCGGAACGTCACCACCAGAATGTGGTGGCCCTCTGGGCACGGCTGAGCCGCCCGTGTCCTGTGCCCTCCACTCCCTATACAACGCCCGCTCATCATTCTTAACCGCTCTCAACCCACCCGGATATTTGCCGAAACGCCACCAGAATGTGGTGGTCTTTCGGGCATGGGTGTGACGCCCCTACCCTGTCCCCTCCCCTCCCTATACAGCACCCACTATCCTTCTTAACCGCTCACAACTCACCCGAATGGAACGCCACCAGAATGTGGTGGTCCTCTGGGCATGGCTGAGCCTCCCATGTCCTGTCCCTTCCAAAGTAACACCCACCCATCTCTCATTACCGCTCTCAACCCACCCGATGGTTTGACAAAACGCCACCAGAATGCGGTGGTCCTCTGGGCAATGCTGAGCCACCCCTGCCCTGTCCCGTCCTTCCTATTCCGGGTCCCACCCTCCAGCCCTCTCTAACCCTTTGACATTCCGCCTCCCTTCTCACCCACCCGAATGGTTTGTCGGAACGCCACCAGAATATGGTGGTCCTCTGGGCATGGGTGTGACGCTCCTACCCTGTCCCCTCCCTTCCCTATACAACACCCCCTCATTGTTCTTAACCGCTCACAACCCACCCGAATGGTTTGCCGGAATGCCACCAGAATATGGTGGTCCTCTGGACATGGGTGTGACGCTCCTAGCTGCGCCACCTGTTGCTGCAAGAGCTCCTCAAAGTTGGTGGGCTGAGGGGGTGGGGAGCAGTGGAGACGGGCCGGGGGGGGCAGGGAGGGGTGGAGCGGGGTGAGAGGACAAACAGGTGGCATGACATGCCGCAGCTGTTGTGACAATAAGACATCTCCTTGGTCCTCTGGGCATGGGTGTGACGCTCCTAGCTGGGCCACCTGCTGCTGCAGGAGCTCCTCAAAGTTGGTGGGCTGGGGGGGTGGAAAGAGGTGGGGAGGGGTGGAGAAGGGTGGGGAGGGATGGGGAGGAAAAAGAGAGGTGGAGAGGGTTTGGTAATGAAGGGGTTTAGGGCGGGAGAGCAGGAGGTGGGACAAGAAAATGAGTGCCTTGGGGTGGGAATAGAGTAGTTAGTGGGGTGTCAAGAAGAGTCGGGTTTAAATAAGTCTGTAAATTACTGTTCCAGTGTATTGATAGCTGTCGCACACTACTTCCAGTGCTTGCTGGTGCAGAGACATCTCATAGGTCATTACTCTCTAATGCTTAATGAATACATGACAATAAATAGTGCATGTCTATAAAGAGTACTGTTCCAGTGTATTGATAGCTGTCGCACACTACTTCCAGTGCTTGCTGGTGCAGAGACATCTCATAGGTCATTACTCTCTAATGCTTAATGAATACATGACAATAAATAGTGCATGTCTATAAAGAGTACTGTTCCAGTGTATTGATAGCTGTCGCACACTACTTCCAGTGCTTGCTGGTGCAGAGACATCTCATAGGTCATTACTCTCTAATGCTTAATGAATACATGACAATAAATAGTGCATGTCTATAAAGAGTACATTACTGTTCCAGTGTATTGATAGCTGTCGCGCACTACTTCCAGTGCTTGCTGGTGCAGAGACATCTCATAGGTCATTACTCTCTAATGCTTAATGAATACATGACAATAAATAGTGCATGTCTATAAAGAGTACATTACTGTTCCAGTGTACTGATAGCTGTCGCACACTACTTCCAGTGCTTGCTGGTGCAGAGACATCTCATAGGTCATTACTCTCTAATGCTTAATGAATACATGACAATAAATAGTGCATGTCTATAAAGAGTACTGTTCCAGTGTATTGATAGCTGTCGCACACTACTTCCAGTGCTTGCTGGTGCAGAGACATCTCATAGGTCATTACTCTCTAATGCTTAATGAATACATGACAATAAATAGTGCATGTCTATAAAGAGTACTGTTCCAGTGTATTGATAGCTGTCGCACACTACTTCCAGTGCTTGCTGGTGCAGAGACATCTCATAGGTCATTACTCTCTAATGCTTAATGAATACATGACAATAAATAGTGCATGTCTATAAAGAGTACATTACTGTTCCAGTGTATTGATAGCTGTCGCGCACTACTTCCAGTGCTTGCTGGTGCAGAGACATCTCATAGGTCATTACTCTCTAATGCTTAATGAATACATGACAATAAATAGTGCATGTCTATAAAGAGTACATTACTGTTCCAGTGTACTGATAGCTGTCGCGCACTACTTCCAGTGCTTGCTGGTGCAGAGACATCTCATAGGTCATTACTCTCTAATGCTTAATGAATACATGACAATAAATAGTGCATGTCTATAAAGAGTACATTACTGTTCCAGTGTACTGATAGCTGTCGCGCACTACTTCCAGTGCTTGCTGGTGCAGAGACATCTCATAGGTCATTACTCTCTAATGCTTAATGAATACATGACAATAAATAGTGCATGTCTATAAAGAGTACATTACTGTTCCAGTGTACTGATAGCTGTCGCGCACTACTTCCAGTGCTTGCTGGTGCAGAGACATCTCATAGGTCATTACTCTCTAATGCTTAATGAATACATGACAATAAATAGTGCATGTCTATAAAGAGTACATTACTGTTCCAGTGTATTGATAGCTGTCGCACACTACTTCCAGTGCTTGCTGGTGCAGAGACATCTCATAGGTCATTACTCTCTAATGCTTAATGAATACATGACAATAAATAGTGCATGTCTATAAAGAGTACATTACTGTTCCAGTGTATTGATAGCTGTCGCACACTACTTCCAGTGCTTGCTGGTGCAGAGACATCTCATAGGTCATTACTCTCTAATGCTTAATGAATACATGACAATAAATAGTGCATGTCTATAAAGAGTACATTACTGTTCCAGTGTATTGATAGCTGTCGCACACTACTTCCAGTGCTTGCTGGTGCAGAGACATCTCATAGGTCATTACTCTCTAATGCTTAATGAATACATGACAATAAATAGTGCATGTCTATAAAGAGTACATTACTGTTCCAGTGTATTGATAGCTGTCGCACACTACTTCCAGTGCTTGCTGGTGCAGAGACATCTCATAGGTCATTACTCTCTAATGCTTAATGAATACATGACAATAAATAGTGCATGTCTATAAAGAGTACATTACTGTTCCAGTGTATTGATAGCTGTCGCACACTACTTCCAGTGCTTGCTGGTGCAGAGACATCTCATAGGTCATTACTCTCTAATGCTTAATGAATACATGACAATAAATAGTGCATGTCTATAAAGAGTACTGTTCCAGTGTATTGATAGCTGTCGCACACTACTTCCAGTGCTTGCTGGTGCAGAGACATCTCATAGGTCATTACTCTCTAATGCTTAATGAATACATGACAATAAATAGTGCATGTCTATAAAGAGTACTGTTCCAGTGTATTGATAGCTGTCGCACACTACTTCCAGTGCTTGCTGGTGCAGAGACATCTCATAGGTCATTACTCTCTAATGCTTAATGAATACATGACAATAAATAGTGCATGTCTATAAAGAGTACATTACTGTTCCAGTGTATTGATAGCTGTCGCGCACTACTTCCAGTGCTTGCTGGTGCAGAGACATCTCATAGGTCATTACTCTCTAATGCTTAATGAATACATGACAATAAATAGTGCATGTCTATAAAGAGTACATTACTGTTCCAGTGTACTGATAGCTGTCGCACACTACTTCCAGTGCTTGCTGGTGCAGAGACATCTCATAGGTCATTACTCTCTAATGCTTAATGAATACATGACAATAAATAGTGCATGTCTATAAAGAGTACTGTTCCAGTGTATTGATAGCTGTCGCACACTACTTCCAGTGCTTGCTGGTGCAGAGACATCTCATAGGTCATTACTCTCTAATGCTTAATGAATACATGACAATAAATAGTGCATGTCTATAAAGAGTACTGTTCCAGTGTATTGATAGCTGTCGCACACTACTTCCAGTGCTTGCTGGTGCAGAGACATCTCATAGGTCATTACTCTCTAATGCTTAATGAATACATGACAATAAATAGTGCATGTCTATAAAGAGTACATTACTGTTCCAGTGTACTGATAGCTGTCGCGCACTACTTCCAGTGCTTGCTGGTGCAGAGACATCTCATAGGTCATTACTCTCTAATGCTTAATGAATACATGACAATAAATAGTGCATGTCTATAAAGAGTACATTACTGTTCCAGTGTACTGATAGCTGTCGCGCACTACTTCCAGTGCTTGCTGGTGCAGAGACATCTCATAGGTCATTACTCTCTAATGCTTAATGAATACATGACAATAAATAGTGCATGTCTATAAAGAGTACATTACTGTTCCAGTGTACTGATAGCTGTCGCGCACTACTTCCAGTGCTTGCTGGTGCAGAGACATCTCATAGGTCATTACTCTCTAATGCTTAATGAATACATGACAATAAATAGTGCATGTCTATAAAGAGTACATTACTGTTCCAGTGTACTGATAGCTGTCGCGCACTACTTCCAGTGCTTGCTGGTGCAGAGACATCTCATAGGTCATTACTCTCTAATGCTTAATGAATACATGACAATAAATAGTGCATGTCTATAAAGAGTACATTACTGTTCCAGTGTATTGATAGCTGTCGCACACTACTTCCAGTGCTTGCTGGTGCAGAGACATCTCATAGGTCATTACTCTCTAATGCTTAATGAATACATGACAATAAATAGTGCATGTCTATAAAGAGTACATTACTGTTCCAGTGTATTGATAGCTGTCGCACACTACTTCCAGTGCTTGCTGGTGCAGAGACATCTCATAGGTCATTACTCTCTAATGCTTAATGAATACATGACAATAAATAGTGCATGTCTATAAAGAGTACATTACTGTTCCAGTGTATTGATAGCTGTCGCACACTACTTCCAGTGCTTGCTGGTGCAGAGACATCTCATAGGTCATTACTCTCTAATGCTTAATGAATACATGACAATAAATAGTGCATGTCTATAAAGAGTACATTACTGTTCCAGTGTACTGATAGCTGTCGCGCACTACTTCCAGTGCTTGCTGGTGCAGAGACATCTCATAGGTCATTACTCTCTAATGCTTAATGAATACATGACAATAAATAGTGCATGTCTATAAAGAGTACATTACTGTTCCAGTGTACTGATAGCTGTCGCGCACTACTTCCAGTGCTTGCTGGTGCAGAGACATCTCATAGGTCATTACTCTCTAATGCTTAATGAATACATGACAATAAATAGTGCATGTCTATAAAGAGTACATTACTGTTCCAGTGTATTGATAGCTGTCGCACACTACTTCCAGTGCTTGCTGGTGCAGAGACATCTCATAGGTCATTACTCTCTAATGCTTAATGAATACATGACAATAAATAGTGCATGTCTATAAAGAGTACATTACTGTTCCAGTGTATTGATAGCTGTCGCACACTACTTCCAGTGCTTGCTGGTGCAGAGACATCTCATAGGTCATTACTCTCTAATGCTTAATGAATACATGACAATAAATAGTGCATGTCTATAAAGAGTACATTACTGTTCCAGTGTATTGATAGCTGTCGCACACTACTTCCAGTGCTTGCTGGTGCAGAGACATCTCATAGGTCATTACTCTCTAATGCTTAATGAATACATGACAATAAATAGTGCATGTCTATAAAGAGTACATTACTGTTCCAGTGTATTGATAGCTGTCGCACACTACTTCCAGTGCTTGCTGGTGCAG